GGAATATGCCCGCGCGACCCTTGTGGACCCTTCCCGTATTATAGTTTGATCACTGACCTCAATTCTAGATTAAGAGGTGAGGTCAATCTCTTCCCCTTGTTTTCCGAGGCAGTGTTGACGAACACTCGTCGAAAAGGGACTCTCGTCGATTCTATCTTCTTGTTTTGTGTGATATAGAGCTGAAATAAACGCCACATGGATTACCTTCGTAACACGGTATGTACACTTTGTTATTGGTATGCCATTTTTATTCTGACAGACTGCACGTCACTGTCGAGCTATAACAGTTCGTGGGAGGTATACGTACAACCCCGGTCCAACCTTTCTTTGCTGAGTGTCGCGTCAGTATCGAGTTGCAATCGTAAAAGAACGGTCCCGAAGCGCTTACAAACAGCGCGAATACAAGACTTCCATCAAGCGCGCGCGTCCGCTCCGAGTGTAAACAGGTATTTACGTGGCTCTTGCTGACACTCGTAGTTCAAACGTATCTTTTTTAACGTCGGCTCGCTCCTGCATCTCCGAAGCCGCGAAAAACGCCATCTACGTCGCTTTGCAAACGACTGACACGGGCCGGCCCTTCTGCCAACAATGACGGGGTGGTTGACTTCTGGAGTCTTCACCGGAAGACTCGCTGCACTTCCCAACGGGCATACCGGCGTATGGGACTAGTCCCATGCTGTCGCTGTAGCGCAACATATCTCATTGAATTTCGCTCAGCTGCGATGCGGCGATGAGAGGCGCCGATTCAGGAAATACGTCGGTGACATCAGCGCAGTAAAACCTACCGGCGCACCCCAACTCGTTGCCGCTAACACTCCCATTCTCCTACTGCCGAGAGAACTTCCGGTTCCGGAAACGGCCTACGTCACGGCTTCTTTTGCGGTCAGTTGGAGAGAATGAAAAAGTCGATATTTCAAAAAATTTTTGTGTAGAAGTTAATAAACCGAGACGAAAACGGATGCCTGTTCGGCATTCAGTGAACAGTGACGGTTTAATGTAAAAGTTATCTGGAAAAAGTAAAAAGGTCATTTCATGGTCCCTTTAAGGAAGTGTCAGTGAATGAGTATCTTCAGTTTTAGAAGGCAGAAACGCCTATTAATCACGCAGGAATAAAATACGTGCGGACTCTTTTCTGTACTTGCGAGGACCAATGAAATTATCGTATGTTTGAAAATTTTGGCGGTCTTTTTAAAGTTTCGCTAAAAAAACAATTTTCAGTTCATTTAAATATGTTGTGCATGATAATTTCACAAGACGTAAAATATTTCTAGTTTAGAATACGCGATAGCGCAATTATCGTTTCACAAACAAGGGACTACGTTTTCTATTTGCCTTCCTCCGCGGGGGGTGAATTTCCCGTTCCCCAGGGATGCGCGGAAGCGCACGTATCTCCGCGCGTTGCAGGCCGGTCGTGCCGGTCGCGGGCCGGCCGGCTCCTTCTATCCGCAAACGTGGCGTCGGTGGTGATCGTCGGAATGGACGGCCAGGTGAAAGCTCATCGTTCCGCGTAAAAGCGCTATCCTTGACTGTGAATTTTCGTCGTGTTTCGCTATGATAACCCAGCACGTACTAGAAGGGAACATCCACCTACTCGTGCGGCGATGTCGTGGCGGCACTCTCAAGACAGCAGAAACGCCCGTGCCGTCGTGTTTGTTTACTTCGACTACAGTGGTGCTTTCTAAGCATTTGTGTCCTCGAACATCGCCCGGATTTCTGATTTGGCGCATTTCATGCGTGTGCTCAAGTTCAAGGTATTACTGGCGCGTACCGTATAAAGGATACGAATTATCACGCGTTTTCATCACCGGAGAAAAGTGATTAGTGTTAGCAATCCTGAACGCTCGCAACGTCTATCTGATCACGAAATCATATTTCTACGTTGCTATATCGCTGCTAAGATTACATTGTCTTTTATAATCGTAGAAAAGGCGTGTGGCGATATTTGTACTATTGCAATGTCGTGTATTAGAGTCGTGATCGCCCAAGACGGCGCTGCATCTTTTTATTTTATTTTTTTCATTCGCTGTACCCTGCAAGCCTATCAAGAAAAAATAATAAAGCTTTAGACTAGAAAACTGTCTGTCTGTATTCTGTTACGGCTTTGAGTAGCAGTGCGTCCCCTTTTTTAGAGGGGCCGCTGACACAGCTGACGGCGGCGTACAGAAGCGGTCGCCGTGCTGACGACCCGCTGCGCTTGTTGTAGTGGTTACAGGTGTGTGTACGCGCGGCGCAGTGCGGTCGTTCCGGTCGCAACGGACGCAGTCGTAGGTACGCGCTCGTTGCACATGTCTAAACCAGCCTTCCCCCCGTTCTCCCGAGGCGAAAGTCAACGTGGCGACATCGTTTGACATCACGTACCAGAGGTAACGCTGCGATGTCAAACGTTGGTTTGGTTACGACTTGCCCCAACCGCAAATCGAAGAACGCCCGAAAAGGTCTGCGTTTCGTCGTCCTCGGAACCCGAACATGACTCCGAAGCGCTGCTATCGTCCACATCGCGCGTCGGAGTGGCGTCATAGGAAATCATCCCCAGGTCGGCTGTCCGCCGAAGAACTTCAACCTCTAACGGCGTCAGGTCCTCGAGCGTAGAGAACTCCGCCATGATCGAAGCTCGAATGACAAAGAGGTTCGGCCGATGCGGCTACCTCGGGATCACTGCGCGACGGAACGTCGTCCAACGCCATTGGCCCGAGATCCTTTTGATAAGCGTGCGACGACCAATGAGAGTGGTTTCGTTTTCGGATGGATCCGAGGTTTGGCGGCCTTCAATTACATTTTTATTAAAGAAATAATCACCGTATGACTATACTTTTTGGTTTTTAGGGATACTTAAGGCGTCTAAATTCAGCTGTCATTATCAAAACACGAACTCAAAAAAAGGTAACAAGGTGATTATAACATTGGAAGGAAAGGCGACAGGGAAAATAGAGATAAGATGAGGCCTTATGCAGGGGTGCCCGTTATCGCCTTTGCTGTTTATGTTGTATCTGAGAGGATTGGAGGATAGACTAGAGAAGAGCGGGCTTGGATTCAACCTTTCTTACAGTAAGCTAGGCCAAAAAATTCAGCAATCCTTACCGGGATTGATGTATGCGGATGATATTCTACTAAGGGCTAACAACAGGACAGAGTTGCAGGAATTAATGAGCATCTGTGGTAGGGAAGGAGAGGAATTAGGTTTAGAATTCAGTAGCGAAAAATCAGCAGTCATGATTTTTAACGAGGATGAAGTTGAAAGGCTGAAGATACAGAATATTACAGTTGAGAGAGCTAGTAAATACAAGTATCTAGGAGTATGGATATGTGATGGTGCAGAATATCTCAGAGACCATGAAAAGTATATAATAGGTAAGTGCAACAGAAATGCAGCTGTAATGAAAAATAGAGCACTTTGGAATTACAACAGGTATGAGGTGGTGAGAGAGATTTGGAAAGGGGTCATGGTGCCTGGCTTGACTTTTGGAAACGCAGTGCTATGCATGAAATCCGAAGTGCATGCGAGACTAGAAATAAAACAGCGCGGAGTAGGTAGACTGGCTTTGGGGGCACATGGCAAAACGCCAAACCAGGGAGTACAAGGAGACATGGGATGGGCATCATTTGAGAGCAGGGAAGCGGTGAGCAAGGTAGAATTTGAGGATAGGTTGAGGCAAATGGACGGGGAGCAATGGGCACGAAAGGTTTTCAGCTATTTATACATGAGGAGTGTAGACACAAAGTGGAGACAGCGCACTAGGAAATTAAGAGGAAAGTTTTTGGGCTATAGCGAAGACACGGAAGAGCAAGTCTCAATTAAGAAGAAAGTTAAGGCCACAGAAAGAGATCGGTGGCTAGAGGGAATGCAGACAAAGACGGCTCTGGAAAGTTATAGATTAAGCAAAAGAGTTATTGCCAAAGAAAGCATTTATGACAATTCTAGGGGAAGCTCATTGCTGTTTGAGGCGGGGACGGGTGTTCTGCGAACCAGAACATACAAAGTGAAGTACCAGGAAATGGACCTTTTCCATATACCGACGGCACCAGGCGGTGGCTGCGCGAACTAAAAAATCGAGGAAGTGACCTGCGCTACCAATCAATAATGGGAGCTACGTTACCAGTTGCTTCGCTCTCTGAGCAGCGTCGCGTGCCCAATGCAACGAGGTAGGCCTAGCGCGACTTTAAAGAAGGAAATCCATAGCGTCCACCCAAACGTCGTGTTTTTCTTTCCGTCCACTTTCTTTTTTTGTGTAACACAATTATATATATGCTGCAATTACGTGTTCTACTCGTCGATTTACAGCCTCATTCCGAATTTCCTCGATTTTTTCGTGCCGACTTCCACCGCTTGGCATCGGGCGCTCGCGCGTGCGCAGAACGCTTCTCGGAAAAGGTCCATTGATACAGTGTGCACTGCTTGTGGAGAGGAGGACGAGACGGCTGAGCACTTGATACTCTACTGTAAAGGGCTTCACCCTATGCCTACCGAAGACAACATAGATTTAATAAAGTCATTGGCTTTTAGAGACAGCGAAGGGAGAGTGGATTTCAAGACTGTAGAGATTACCAAGCAAAGATTAAGTGAATGGTGGCAAAAATCGAGAGAAAACTAGGTATTTTCTTATTCACTGATGGCAAGGGGGTTTCATAGCCTCACTTTCTTTGCACTGCGGAGTGAATATAGATTTCACATTAAATATTCTAAGCTTAAATCGTAAAACAAAATGGCTAGGTGGCGTAAGCTACCGCCCAATCCAAAGGGCGCAGTCGTATTCATTCATCCATCCATCTCTTGCGCGATCCTCAGTAATCTAGCCTAAAGCATTTACATAGTTTACATATCATTTTTTTTTTAATTCGGCCCTGTTAGATCATTTACTCGATCGAATTTGTGCACTACCACATTTTGTAGACATTTTTCATAAATCTCATGACTTCTAATTTGCTGATGTCAAGCGCGACGAGCGCGACAGCGCGACCCAGCCGACGCTGGCTGCGATGATCCAATTTAGTCCAATCCCAATCCAATCCAAAGGTGGCGGGGAAAAATGGATGGCGGCAGCCGCGGCAAGAAGCGCAAGTTGCAAGAGATGGCTGAGCGGCAGGGGAACCTGCGTGCTTCGCCGGCCCAGGTCGAAGCTTTATTGGGCTTCATGGAGGAGCTTCCGGAGCTCGGGCGGCGAGGCAGTGTTCCCTTCAAAAACGCTCTCTTCTACCAGTTGGTCCGAGAGCTGAACGCCGCCGGCCCCGCCGTCAAGACGACGAAGCGATGGCAGCGCTTCTGGGCCAGCCTGGTTTCCACTGCCAAGCGGAAGGCCGCCGACTTCAGCAGTAGCGGGTGAGTGAGTTGCCTGACCTCATTCCGCGGTGTGGCTGGTGACTCCTCACTGCGTGACTAGAAGTACTGTAGTCTAGCTGGCCACATAGGCACATATGTGTACGGGCGGAAACGCCTTCTATGCGACCTGTACTTAAATGTACAAATAAATATCTATCTATCTATCTATCTATCTACACTCAGTAGCAGTTCTCCGGCGCCCGATCTGCAATGCATACCATAGTAACTGACAAGGTAAAAACGACAGGAAGGAGCTTCAGTTGTCCTGCCTTCAGCGCGAGTTTCCTACCTTCGACAACGCTTCAGCGTCTCGTGCGTCTCGAGCGCGCTCGCGCACCCAAAGCATGACGGAAGGCGAGGAGCGCGTGCCGGAGGCCGGGTGCTTGGAAGACACGCCCTGCTGTTTTCTTTCTGCTTACTTTTGTGGTTAGACGTCCAAACTCGAGGTTTGCCTCGTTCGGTGAACTTTCGGCCAAGTTCAATTTATTCTTGCGAAAATCTTCTCCACCTAAAAGACAGTTTGAATCATTAGTATATCTAATCATTAAACGACTGTTCTCACCCTTCTGGTGGTTACGATTAAGACTGGTGGCAACTGTTAACATTTGTTAGCTTTACTGACAGCTAGCTCCTGGTCAGCTCAGTTGGTAGAGCACTCTGCTAGTCTCCCTTGAGCAGAGAAGCGGTGCAGCTGATAGGGGCCACTATCTCTGTCGCTATGGCTTACTTCACCATGGAACACAACTAACAGAAAAGCCTCGATTTATCTTGAACCGAAGCCGGAGATCTTTTTTTGTCATGTTGACAATTGCTTTTACGTCATTAAAGGGGTAGGGAAACGAAATTTCAGCGCTCATTTTTTAGCTTTAATGTGTTGCATGTTGCACCCTAACCTCAAAAACACCAGTCTTCCATTGGAAAGCACAAGAAAACTAATTTTAAAGCTAAATAAACGATCTTTCAATGTGCACCTGGTGGATGCATGCAGAGCCTATTTGGGAGGTAGTTTAGCAATGTTGTGGAATCTGCTACGTAGTCGTGATGTAGCAGATTCCTTCGGAGGAGCGCTGCCCTTTGGAATTTCAACATTTTCCTTCTTAGCTTTCCTCCTAGCTCTACTCACAAATCGCGCATTGTATTATACGGTCCAAGAAGACGGAAAGGAAGGACTCCCCTCTTTTTCGGACCCTCGATCGTGCAACCGGACACAGCCATTCTGCCCCTGGAAGATTAGCCCGTCCCTCAAAACTCGGAACAAAAGTTGCTTTCCCCAACCGTTCAGCCCTAAGCTGACAGTGTTGTGGAAGCTATGTGCTCCTCAGGCCAGCCACACGCTGGTCACCCCACGGGCACTTCGAACGGCTCAGCTGTAACGCGTTGACGCTATTGACATCACCACAACGCTGACAACGCCACCAAGGGCAAAGCTCATAACCACGCCTGCCTTGCTACTCCACGAACGCGGGAAATCTTTTCTTTCTGTTTTTGTTTGCGCCGGATATCCCATGACGCATCGCGCTCTCCGTTTGCTTCTCTTCGAGCGCTTGCTCGAGTGCACCGCTTGGAACGAAAAATATAGCCAATCGTTCAAAATACAAACATGTGATTATCATTTACGGTTATTATCCTTCATGCTTGACTCATTTCCGAACGAAATTTGAATATTTAGATTTTTGTTTCCGTACCCCTTTAAGACAATTAAAGTTGGCCATCTTTGTCAACACCTAAATGTATACCCACGCTCATTATTCAGTTCATGGTGGAATTTGAGAAAGACGGCATGCTCCTTTTCTTGGACGTCATTGGAAGAAAATTCTCTACAAGCTGACCTTTTTAGTGGATAGAATAGCCATGCATACTGGAAGATACTTAACTTTGACTCTTATCACCCTAGAGCCCACAAGGTTTCAGTGGTCACTGTACTATTCAGATCTGCCATGTCTGTGCACTCGAAAGAGCAGTCCCTCCAAGCGGAGGTCCGCAAGATCAAAGCTAATCTTCAAAAACGATGGCTACACCGAACATTTCCTCAACATAATCTGAAAGTAGCTATGGTGTCCTCATCTGTCCATGATTCTAGCTTCTTCCAGCCGTCCCTGCTTGCACTACGTGAAGAATGTCAGCAAGACCATCGGATACATCAGTCACAATCTGGTGTCCACCATTTGTCATTGACTTCCACTTGGGCACAGGGGTTGCCCTGCTGCCGAAGTGGGGTAAACCGAAAGCTTCTCCCGATGCCTCCAGCGCCACAAATATGATGCAAAGAAAAACAATGTTCAAACAAATTCCCTTGCTGAACATGTAGCAAAATCGGGTCGCAGTGTGTCCTTTGACAGAAGCAAAATCCTGGTAACAGAGCAGTGTTGTCCGAAACGTCTGCACCTCTTCTTTGTTTCACCTTAAGTCCAGACTCAGCCAATGCTACAAGTGCTAGCATGTGGCCCTGAACAGTGCTTGCACTGCACAAGCGCGCATGCTTGGCAGGGACTCTGAAAGCCCGGAACTTGCTCTTGAAGCTTCTGCTACGGACATCCAAACAATTAATGAACAAATACCAACAGGTTGTCGGACACTCTTCGAAGTGTGTACGTCTCAGGACTTCGCCGTGTTGCAGAAAAACCCGCGTGCAACCACCACGACAAACCGAACCTACATAAACAGCGTTCACCTCCGTCCAACCCCCCACAGTCCTCCGTAACCAACACACCTGACTGGTCCAAAAACATAAATTGGCTGAGATTTGAACCTCTAACCAGAGCTTTAATAAAAAAAACTCGAGGTACACCTAAGCACTTCTTATGAGTTGTGAATGTGAAAGCATGCAAGCCGCTCACCCGCTTCCTTTTTTGTTTGCTGCGTACTTTTCGTCGCGGGTCAGCGCGTGTGCTCCCCTGGAAACGCTGACATTAGACGTAGCGGTGCGCTGATGGACATGCAGTGCCATGGGGTGAGCTGTCGTGGAAATTGACAAGCACAGCGGCCAATGGGAGCCCCATTGATGCGCATCCGCCAATCGCGGAATCTAGGTGCCGTTTTCGCGCTTCAAACTGGTGGCGTCGGCTCGCCCGATGGAACAGTTAAGGCTTTGGCATTAAAACAACATTTCAACATTTGGTTCTGAAATGTTGGAGATTTTGTTTTTATGGAAACTTTGGTTAGAGTTTTAAATCTCAGTCAGTCTATGCCTGACTTCTACCGAAAATGTTTACATTTAAGTCTTGAAGGTGGAGCTTTTTAGTGCCACCTGTTGCCTGGAAGGGTGCAATTTGTCCTTGATTTCAGGTGGAAATCAATTTATGCTCGCGTAAATCTTCTCCCACTTAACGACTTCTCCTAAATCCTCAAAAACCTTATATCTAAGTTTGACACAGTTTCAATTTCTGGAAAGTTGCCCAACTTCTAGACAAAAATCTCAAATATTTTTTAAGAATAATTTACACAGTAGTTTGTTATAAATTTTACAGATCTCAAAGGCAAACACACAAGCCTTTAATAGTATGGTTAGTTTGTTCATCCGATGCAATGCACCCGATAAACATTGCATCCCCTCTCCGCTAGGCGCCTTCAGCTTGTTTTCAATTTCTGCACATGCACGGAGTAGTCAAATTTCAGTTGAATAAATCGGTAATCGACACTTGTGAATTTCAACGTTGGTAGGTATCCTAAACACCCTTGGCAGTGGGGCATCTGTATTCACAGTCCGCAGGGGCAGACTTAGCATTTAGCTGCTTTAGGCAGCCTTTAATGGTGCCGCCTCCACCCACCCAACCCCTGCTCCCCATGCTCGGTGACCATTTTGGTGCGGGGTTAAGTAGCTAAGTTTGGAGTTAAAATTTTAAAAAGTAGCTAGATTTGGGAATAGAATTTCATAAATAACTAAATTCAAAACTGAAAAAGAAAAAGAAGACATTTACAACACTTTTTAACGCCGAATTAGAGCGCAGCTCTTGAGAAAGAGGGGGCAAGGGTACTGAGGGGAGGGTATACCCCTCTTTCCTCCTCCTCACCTCCTCATCCTCCCTGCTACCACCTCCCCTCCTCTTCCTCCTCCTTCCCCCTCCTCCTCCTTCAAGCTCCTCCTCTCATCCTCCTCCCCCTTGTCCTACACCTCCCCCTCCCCCTCCCCTCCTCCTCCCCCTGCACTCCCCCTCGTCCTTCTCCTTCTCCCCATGCAGTGCATCATGGGAAATGCCCCATAATACACCTCACGGGGCCCTCGTGACGTCACACGTGACGTCACAAGGGTCTCGTGCGGTGCATTATGGGACATTCCCCACAATGCACCGCGAGGTTACACTGACAGCTACGGCGACGCCGCTCAAGCCGGAAACGGGTGCCTAAAAGCTGCGCTCTAAAACAAGTATTTAATTTTGGGGCGGCCACAGATTGCCAGTTCCCAAAAATCTGCCGCCCTAGGCAGCTGCCTACACTGCCCATTTGTAAGTTCGCCCCTGGTGGTCGGACTGCCTTCCCCCGCAATGTTGATAAGTTGGGTATGTCCTGTCAACTGACAGGAAGTTGAAACTGTAGCCGCTAGGATGGCACCCCTTGGCTAAGGTTGGGTACTCGCAGAGCAGTGTAATGGTTGGGAAGCACTGTGCCACATTCACAGTGGAAAATAAGCATTGCAGATAAACCACTCGCATAGAGGACTAATTTACATTGGTGCAACCTAGCTATATTTGTGAATCCAATACAACTTGTGTGGCGGTGTAATTTGTCTCCAGTGGGACAGGCGGGAATGCCGTGCCTGGGGATGTGGGCCGCATTGTCAGCATTATTGGCCGTGACGCAGTGGAAGGCTGTGGGGCTCCCATGCTGCCGGGGCCACAGGTAAGGATGTAACCTTCTCCAGAGCCAAATGTGCAAAAACACAAAAAAGTTGGCACGCAAAACAAAAACCTATAGCTTTTGTTTTGCTGTGTTCATTAACATGTTTTGCCTCCCTCCTCTATCCCCCCTGCATGAATATGAGCATTTTGATGTTTGGTTCGCACGAAGTGCAGTGCAGTCTTGGCTCTTGGCCAAGTTATGGATATCCTGTTTTTGTCTATTTCTAGGTTTACTTTGATGAATGCCAATGTGTAGCTTGATAAGGAACATTAATTCAGATTCATACCTACCTTAGTATCTTGAGAGATGCCTCAGCCTTGAAAGTAACCTACCAGGGTTTTAGGCATAATTTTCTGTTCACAAAAGCAAAAAAATTGGGGGACGATCACATGGCGTGATACGTTGAGACAGTGGAAGCTTTTTTGTTTATTTTTGTATATGCTCACGCCGCAACGACAGAGGGGAATGCACCAACAGCTGCTGCTGTAATTGTATTCCTTTATGCTCATGCCGTCACCAAATTTTCCTACCAAATTTAACGGGAAAACTGAATTCGTGCATAGGTCATGTGACATCAATTTTTTTGCTAAATTGAGCAGGGAAACTTAATTCGTTTATGCTCATGCTGTCGCGAAACTTGGGGGGACGGGCTAGTAGCAGCTGCTGCTGTAAAAGATAGCCCACCTTTAGAAATTGCACTGCCGAGGTAACATCAGCAGTACTGGGGCACCCTTTTCCACCAATGTCGTTTTGCTGTATTTGCAGCATCTGTCGAGGCCTTCGTTGGCACCACCTGGATCTGCTTAAGAACAGTATTCAGCCAATGTTATTAGGCCTATTGGCAGAAGGCCTTTGCACTTAAAGCACATGAAAAGTACAGCATGTGTGGCATGGCTGTCGTGAGAACAAATGGCGACCATAGCAAAGCTGAAACATTTGCCTCTAGCCTCAGTCCAGCTTTATTGCAAAATGCAGCAACCTGATTCACAAAGCTAGTTTTGCGGCGGACAATACAAATGAAGCCCAAAAGATTAAGCACCGAGTTGGATGGCATCTGAAATTTTTGTTGCTCTTATATTAAATCTGTTGGGTTAGCGATGGGCGGTTCCGCGAAGACGTCCAAAACGTCAGTCGGTGATTCGAAACCAGCCTTCACTTTCTGACAGTGTGCATGATGAGCTGTGTGATGGGACCTGAAGAAACCGACTTTTTATAATCGACCAGGCTACATATTTTTTCAAAACATTTTTGGCTTCAGTTTGAAAGTTAAGTCACCCCCTATTTTTACCCACTTTGCTCCCGGTTTCAAGGGGTCTATATCTCGGGATATTATGGCTGATCTATTTGATTTAATGGAGAGAACGTTCCTGTTGTAACATGCTACTAATAGGTGCTACGTAGAACAGATAAGCATAAGCTAGCTGTCCGGTGTGAGGGTGACAACATGAATACCGAAGATTAGGAGACTGACTCGGAACCTGCCTCGGAACAGTGATGTCCATATCTATTATTCTGACTATTGATGTAGTGATCTGGAATATTCATCCTTGGTCATGGGACAAAGTGTGCATTGCATACAGCCTGCACATTGTGCTCGACTTGTGCTCCAGATGGAACACGTCTATCTACAGAACAACAACACAGGGTCGCACAACTCTCCCTGGTGTTGCCTTATTACTGCTGTGTTGAAAGTGGTGAATGTTGAGACTCAGCCTATGGTGGTAAAACTTAAATTACAAAACAAACCACAAAAGGAAATCAGCGTTATTGTGCTGGATGTGCTAGGAACCTGCGATTTATCCGAAAGATGTCCACGGGGGACGACTTTAGCCATTTTATGTAAAGTATGCGAAAGTTTCATATGACTACTACACATTCCTGTCTCACCTAAATAAAATGTACCTCATACCTGATTTTTTATTTATTACTCTCTCATTCTTTTACATTCTTTGATTGTCTCTTGACGGTGATTATTGACAGTGAACCTCGCGTCACTTTCAGGATGCACCGTCACCCGCCAAGGCAGCAAGGAGCACGTTGGTTTGTGAGGTGGCCGGAACAAGTAACACATCCGGTAAGTGTTTTGTCGGGAAGTATTAATTTACCAGGTACATTTCAGTTCCTACATGTCCTCCTAGAAGAGAAAGCCCCGAAAGGAGGCGAGGATACGACTTTAGGTAATCCATCCAAACTTGGCACGTTGGGTTTGATCTAGGGGCGAACTTACCATAGGCAGAGTTGTGCAGCTGTGCAGGGCTGCAGAATTTTGGGGAATTTGTGGCTGCCCCCAAATTAAATGACTCTTTTCAAATCTAGCTCCGAATTTAGCAACTTTTAAAATTCTAGCTCCAACACTACCTACTTTTTAAAGTATTTTAACCTTAAACTTAGTTACCTTTCCCCCCTCCACCCGTGTCCATGGGGAAAGGGGGGTGGGGGCAGCATTGTGAAAGGCTGCCTAGGCGGCAAGGCGCTAAGTCGGGCACAGGGTCTGACGTGGGTTATATCTAGGCTGTATACTTTTCGATTTTATTTAGATAACACCTATAAGCATCCGCTGGTGTCGAAAATAAAAAAATAGTTAAAGGGCAACTTCACTCAATTCCAAATATTGAGGCTTACATGTGATTCCCTTTTCCAAATCACTACTAAACAGCCCTACATCCTCGGATTGGAGAGATGAGGAATATTATTTGGTAATCCTAGTTTAAACATCAGCAGATACCGAAACTTTGGTTGTGATAGGCAACATTGGTCTTGTGTCGTCAAAGTCATGTTCACGTCACCTCGAACCACATGGTCCGAAAGGTCGCGTGATCCTCTACGCGACGGCGGGCGAACGCAGAGCAAAGAGCCAGTGTCGTCTGCTCCGCATTTTTGCCAATATAGTTTGCTACAACATCCAACAATGTATGCACCACTGCTGCCCTTGCTCGCGCTTCTTTAAAAAAAAAAAAAAAAAAAAGGTTTTCTGAAACGCACATTTTGGAGCCATTTGTAGAAACTGAGGAATGCTAAGCAACACAAGTATATGCACGAGCGTGCCACAGCCAATTTCCGAAGAAACAAATTAACTGTAGCAGAGTCAACAGCGTAGGGCATTCTCTTGTCCTCACAATAGCATTGCAGCAATAGAGCTTAGTTACAACAACCATCGCACAGTACACGAAGCTTTGCTGTGTAAGGTGACGTGTCAAATTATCGTTCCTCCTACACGTCACAATAATGTGTCGCCGAAAGTTTGGCGATAGCAGAGCTTCCGGCAGGAATGGACTATCCACGTTCGAGACTGCCGCTGGAAAGGTCTATATGGCCTAATTATATCTGCAGGAACACAGTTAGTGCAAACAGGCAATCATCAGTTTTCCCCTATTTCTTTTTTCAGAATTAAAAGGCTGTGAGAAAAAAACTACTGGTGTGGTGGAAAGTGATCTAGAAGGGCTGAAAACTGGGCTAGTTGACAAAGTATTAATTCTGGACAAGAAATGCACAAAAGACGAGGACAGAATAGAGGACAAAGACGACATTCAACTGCTTGTCTGTCAAGCTTGTTCTCTACTTTGTCCTCGTCTTTTGTGCACTTTTTAACCAGAACAGAATGGAAGGTGCTCATTTGGAGACACTAACCTAAGTGGTAAAATGTGATGCCGCTCAATGACATGTTTGAGTAAAATGCAGAAAAGAAAACTTTGTTGCATTTGTGCTAACGGTGCTTTGCAGTGTACATAGGTAGTAGCCGTAAAAAAAAAACCATTAATTCATCACTATTTTTTTAATAGAAATTTATTTCGACAGAGCCAGTGTGGGGCTGTGCAAACACTCAAATTTTTTAATAAGAGTTTCGGATTGTACGCCATTCGATGCTCTTTTCGGGATGAACTGCAATATTCACAAACTCCGCAAAGGTGCAGTTGCGACGGGTTAGTTAGCGCCGTTAGTGTGCCTCCCACCGAGCTCCGGGGCACTGCGGAGAAGCGATACCTGCAAACCTTGCATCGCCGCAACAGAGCCGCATGCTTGGAGAAATGCACGCCTTTAAAGCAGGATGGCGCGTGGGCATGCCTGGTGCATCTAGGAATATACTGGAACTTGGTGGAGTAGTGGGTATTGATAGACACTTGCAGTATGATTTTAAAAATATATCTATGGCTGTCGTGTCAGAATACCTGTAGGGTTTGACATTTTCCTGAAAAGGATATTTTGTTTTGTTTTGGTGAATGTTCACATACATATTAACTTTTACCTGCTTTTCTTTTTTTCTCTGCGACATGTGCGGTATTTTTATTCAAACCAAGACTGTTTATGGTTGTTTTCTTTTTTTGTACACACTGGGCAGATATTAAGAAAATGGTTGTGTTTAGCTTGGTGTTGCGATGGAGAGCGTGCAACTGCCATACAAAAGCGTGACAATCTGGAAACAATCTGATTTGGTTAAAATGTAAAAAAACATAAATTCATAAAAGAGATTTTTTAGGTTGTCACTGTAGTGTCTGCAGCTTTTTTAGGTTGTCACTGTAGTGTCTACAGCTTTAAAGTAATGAAGAAACATGCATGGGCAAGTACATACACAGCAGATTATGTCAGGCTCTACCCAGTGTAAACATAACTCTTAGAGGACATATGCAAAGGGAAAAACCTTTTATTTTTTTAACAGCTGGGTGGGAAAAGGATTTTATAAAATGAATTTACAACTAACAAAAGCATTTTTAAAGGTATATTTACGGTGCAAAACTAATTTGTAATTGGTGCGCTGCCGGTCACATGGTAGACCTGTGCGGCGCCGCGCTGCGCTGCCGCCGTCGCAAGTTATGCCAGAGCCAGTCAGCACCGCTGCTGAGGTCCCCGGAACCCCCATGCCGCCGCCGCACGCTGAGCATTGCCTACCGCCGGTTGGATGCGCTTCTCCATGCCACCGCTGTTGGAAGGGAACACTCCATCGTGGCGCCGCCATAAATTTCTGACCGGAGCGCAGGTTTATCATGTGGTGCTTGCACCTTTATGGGAGCTTCCTTCGGGCTCTAAAAGTTACTTATTTATCTTTATTTTTTTTTCACTTCAAGCGAAGATGAAAAAGTAACTCTAAGAGACCATAAAAAGCTTGTGAAAGAGTGCAAGCACCACGTGACCGTAGCAACCAGTCACGTGACCATCTTTTCCGCAGGTGCCAACTACAAATTCGTTTTGCTTCGTAAAGATAATCTAAAAATATTTTTCTTCGTTGTAAATTTCTTCTACGACATTCCTTTCCCATCAAGGCTGTTTAAAAAAAATTTAATTTTCCTTTTCTATATCTTTTAACGTAACAAGGAACCTTGAAATTCACAGGTCATCTAAAGTCGGTGACAGGATAAGAATGCAGTAGAAGCTCTGTTTCCAGCCTGTGCTCATTGCTTTCACCGACCTTTGTGTGCTTTTTTACCAAGGTATTATTAAAGCCACACAGCTTGCACTAGAGGCAGAGCATCTTTTACATTCTTGATCTGCCACCGACTATAGATCGCGTATATTTTATGTGATAGTAATACCTGCGTAGTTTTTTAAGTTCTCTATTGACCCTCCGACAATGGTCGCCATACATGTATAGCGGTGATGACACATTTGAAGTGTCTGCCTTAACACAAAAAGGCCCGCACTGTGTGAGGTGTTGCTATTTGTTGTCTTTTGCGAACTATAGAAGTCATATATTTTCCCCACAGTGTGTGAGAAAACAAAAGCGATAGCTGTAGGACAGTCGCGCAATGCGGGTGGAATGGTGCTGTCACGTACTCGAGAACGGAAGCGCGATGTGGTTAATTCTCAAAGTCGTCGTGTTTGGCATTGGCGATGCCACTGACGGCCGCCACCAGTACTCGGTGATCCGTAAAGCAAGTGGGTAAGCGAGGTGGAAGTTTCTAAAACCATCCAGCATTACATCTAGCAACTGGATACTGCCAAAGTGGAATTTCGCATAACACGAGGAATGTTTGAAAACAAGTTTTTCAAACAGATGACACAATGATTCTCTTTTTGTCGTGCAATTCTTGGTGGGACGCTGCGCTGCGCGGCCTACAGGGAATGTTGATTACCTTGGCCTCGTGCTGTTAAGGGTTGGGGGACAGACAGGCTGGAAATCGGGTTTGGGCTACTATATGGATGACAATGTTTTAATGCGACAAGATCAGACGATGGTGGCGTCCGAAGCTCTTTTGTCTCCGCCACGCGAGTCCGCAGCTCCCTTCTTATATAACAGTGTGTCACCAGCGGGATGCTGACGTGATTGGTGGTGGCTGTTTGTTGGCTTCGATGAAGACGAGGTCCAACAGCCGCGGTCACTGGCCCTGAGGCCTGTGTCACCGCAGCAGCAGCTTCTCTTGATGTTGGAGAAAGATGAAGACGAAGAACTCGTTGATGTTGGTTACTTCCGCCGATGTTCGAAAGTCTTGGTTTCGAGGCTTCGAGACGATCGTTGCCGAGTAATGGCATTGTGGGGTAGAAACATAACAGCGCCAAGAGCAGAGAGCGGGTTTTTTTGTAGCGGCAACAACAAGGGACAAGGTTAAAACCTCTGCAAAGCATCGCCTGTAAAGCTGTCGCTTTAGAACATTATATTCGCACAATGTTTCGCTTTGCTGGGCTATTTATATGTTTAAAATTAGACGCTCCGCTAGTGATGCAAAACTATAGATAAATTGACTATCGATACTATCGATAGTTTTTCCCAAAACTATCGATAGTGCCGCAGAGCTATCGATAGTACTATCGATAGTACTATCAATAGTTTTTCTATAGTACTATCAATAGTTTTTTTACTATCGATAGTCAAATTTCTGGCGACTATCGATACCATCGATAGTACTATCAATAGTTTTGAACCACTATGGTAAGTGCTTCGGCTAGTTGGTGTCCCATCTGAAAAAAATAATAAAGCGAGAAAAAGAGTGGAGGGAGCGACGCAAGCTACTAGTGTCGCAAAACTATCGATAGTAAACCGTCGACAGTACTATCGATAGGTTCACGATAGTCGGCTATCGATAGTACAATCGATAGTTTTTCGATAGTCGACTATCGAAAGTATCGATAGTTTTTCGATAGTCG